CAAGCTGCTCCTCGGCTACCACCGGCACCCTCCACACCCGCACCCCCAGAGGGACCACCCTCAGGGCGACCGGGACGAGCACCCCCAGAGTCAGCGAACGGGGGCTGCGACGGCGGCGGCGGCGGCGGCGAAGGCGACGGCTGCAGCGGCGGCAGGGGCGGCGGAGGAGGGGACTGGGGAGGGGACACCTGGGGAGGGGCGGCCGGCGAGGACTGCACCGGAGGGCCACCAGAGTCAGAAGACTCCTCAACCGGGTCCACGGACGGAAGGGGGGTGACGTGGGAGACACCAGAGGGGGCGGGACGGGGAGGAGGAGGAGGAGGGGCAGGGACTACCGGGGAAGGAGTGACCAGGAACAGGGGGGGGGTAACCGGGGGACCACGGTGGGGGAAGCGGCGGTAGTAGGAGACGGACGCGTCAAAGGTGACGTCACGAGAGTGAAAGAACCGGTGAGACGGCGGGTGGTAAAAGTGCCAGTCGGATGCGTCAAGGGGAAAACCGAGGAAGACGCAGGGAAGGGTGCGGGCAGTGAGCTTGTCCGTGCCAGAGGCACGGACGTGAGCAAGGCAGCCCCAGACGTGGAACGCAGACGCGTCACCAGGAGACCCAGTCCACAGACGGGTCGGTGAAACCTGCGGCTGCTGAGGGTGCGGCCACAGGTTAAGCTGGTGAGAAGCGTAGCGCACTGCGAACGGCCACAGAAAATGAGGTGCACCGGCATGGACCATGGAGGTGCGAGCGACCTCCATGACCAAACCGATGCGTCGCTCGGCGACCCCATTCTGCTGTGGGGAGTCCGGTAGGGTGAACGTCTGGGTGATGCCCTCCGCACGACAAAAGCGACCAAGGACACCGGAGGCAAACTCGCCACCACGGTCTGAGTGAAGACGCAAGACAGGGAGACCGCGGTGGACACGCGCAGAGACAAGCCAGGGGATGAGAGCGCCAGGCACGTCGGCCTTGCGCTCCAGGGGAAAGACTGTGGTGTAACGAGTGAAGTCGTCGACAAGCACAAGGAAGTAGCGCTCGCCACGCGGCCCAGGGACGTGGGCGGGGCCCCAGACGTCCAGGTGCAGGGTCTGCAGCGGCGCGGCGGTAGGGGGGAACGAGGAGGAGTGAGGGGCACGGCGAAGCCGACCCTCGACACAAGGCGTGCAAGGTGGAGCTGGGGAGGAGGGAAACGCGGGGAGGGAACCTGGGAGACCAAGGACAAGACCGTGCTGGGACATGTGACGCAGACGCGGGAGCGCAGGGTGACCTAGGCGGTGGTGCCACAGAAGGGTCGGGTGAGTGAGGGAGCGACAGGAGCAGGCAGCAGCAACCTGGGTAGACACAGCCACCTGAGGGGGGGCCCCAGCCGGGGGGGGCACGGTGTCCAGAGTGAACAGGCCGGACACCGGGTCCCGGGGGAACGTGGACAGGGGGGCACCAGTGGCGGCCTCGGTACAGACAGCATACCGCTCGTGACCAGGGAACGTAGTGGTGACGCCAAGGTCCTGGAGGCAGCCGACACCAACTAGGTTCCTGGAGAACGAGGGGATATGCAGACCTGTAAGAGAGCCCGAAGGAACCGCCGGACAGGGAAGGGTGGTGGAACTGCGGGCGACTACCGGACCGCCGGAGGGGTCAGCAAGAGAAACGGCAGCAGGAACAGGAAGAGGCGTCAGGGTGGTGGAGTCGCGGAAGAAACACCGAGAGGCGCCAGAGTCCAAGGTGAAGGAAAGCGAAGCCGAGGGGTCTGGCGACGGAACGACGGCAGAAGCACCAAGACTACACAAAGCAGGGGGTCCTACGCCTGACGCAGCAGGGGAGGCTAAGCTAGGCACACCTACACTAGGCAACAGTGAGTAATAAGCGGGAAGCACACTAGAGTCATCAGCATACATCACATGCAGAGCAGAAACAATGGCATCCGTGTCCATATCAGAGATCTGAACCTGACGACTAAGCAAACTGTGCCAGTCCGGGAGGTCTGGCGACGGGCCGAAGCGCTGACGAAAGAGATCGTCCAGGCGACGAAAACAGCGGGGAGTGGAGTGACCGATCTTACCGCAAACGAAGCCGCGGCGAGGACCGGTCTAGATCTGGTACTGACAACGCCCGCCGGCAGAGCCACCACGCGGCACACCACCACGCGCCCGTCCACCGCCAGCGCCGGGCCACCCTGGCGGGAGAACACTCGTCTGCCGCGTCTGCGACGGCTGCTGCGGCTGCTGCAAAGGCTGCGACTGCGGCGGCTGCTGCGGCTGCTGCAACTGCAGGGGCGGCGACTCAGCTGGACTGGGCAGGGTCCCCTCGTCCGCTCCAGCACCATGCGACCCGACCCCACCACTACCCCCGCCCGCACCCCCGCCGCCCCCTCCGCCGCGCCCAACCTTGGGGCGGCGGCCCTTCCCAGAACGGGCCTGCGCTGCAGCAGCAGTCTCAGCCACTGCGGCAGAGCCGTCGGAGAAGGTGCACTGAGCGGGGGCACAACCCTGAAAGATAGGGACCGGCACGACACCGCTCGCCTGGGCGATGGAGCGGTGACGAGTCTCTATCACAGTCAGGGTGTCGACAAAGTCAGTGAGGGTGAGGTCTGCGGGGTGAACACTAAGGAAGCGGTCGCGGGCGACAGCAAGGCGGTCAGGGAGGCGGGTGGCAAGCAGGTAGAGGGTAGAGGTAATGGGCGGCTGGTGGGCTCTAAGCTGTGCGTCAGTGCAGGCAGCGCGCCAGGTCTCCTCTATCGAGCGCAGGTGGGCAGCGAGGTCAGAGACAGTGGGGAAAGAAGCAAGGTCAGGAAAGAGCAGCGGGAGGATCAGGCGACCCACCGAGGCAGCCGGAGGGGTGGAATAGCGCTTGATGACAGCATCTTAGTATGCCTGAGCAGTAGTGAGGGACCTAAAGCGAGGACGCTCGGACAGGGGGAGGGCGTTGCTAATGGCAAGCTGGGCGACAGCATCGCGAGAAAGCCAGACAGAGCGCGCACGGGCAGTGGAAGCAGTAGACTCACGCTCAGTGGGTGTGGGGTCAGCGGGCAGAATAGCAGGAGGGTCTGGGCAGGGGAGCGTACCGTCAAGATGTACGGAAAGCGGTTCACCATCCTGCCGCTGGCCAGTGAGTTGGCGGCGGAGGTCGGCAAGCCACGCCTCGAACTCTAGGGGCTGACCTTCAGCGTCGAAGCGAAGCTCCGCCGCCATTAGGAACAGTCCAGGGCGGTGCAGGGCGGTGCAGTGCAGTGCAGTGCGGTACAGTGCGGTGCAGTGCGGTGCAGTGCGGTACAGTGCGGTGCAGTGCGGTGCAGTGCGGTACTGTGCGGTGCAGTGCGGTACAGTGCGGTGCAGGGTGTTGTAAGGCAGTACAGGGTGGTGCGTGGCGGTACGGTGCAGGGCTGTGTTGGGCGGGGTGGGGGGGAACCGTACCAGTGAGGAGGACGGGGCCGGGGCAGCGGGGCTGGGCAGGTGCGACCGGGCCGGGCGCGGACGACGGGGCCGGGCGGGCGCGACGGGCCGGGCGGGCGCGACGGGGCCGGGCAGGGGCGACTAGGCCAGGCGGGGGGCGACAGGGCCGGGCCGGTGCGACGGGGCCGGGCGGGCGCGACGGGGCCGGGCTGATGCGACGGGGCAGGGCGGCTGCGACGGGGCCGGGCGAGCAGGACGGGGCCGGGCTGGTGCGACAGGACCGGGCGGGCGCGACGGGGGGCCCAGGAGGGGCGCTACGGGGCCCAGGAGGGGGCGCGACAGGGCCCAGGAGGGGCGCTACAGGGCTCAGGAGGGGGCGCGACGGGGCCTGGGAGGGGCGCGACGGGGCCCAGGAGGGGCGCTACGGGGCCCAGGAGGGGCGCGACGGGTCCCAGGAGGGGCGCTACGGGGCCTGGGAGGGGCGCGACGGGACCCAGGAGGGGCGCTACGGGGCCTGGGAGGGGCGCGACGGGGCCCAGGAGGGGCGCGACGGGGCCTGGGAGGGGCGCGATGGGGCCCAGGAGGGGCGCTACGGGGCCCAGGAGGGGCGCGACGGGTTCCAGGAGGGGCGCTACGGGGCCTGGGAGGGGCGCGACGGGATCCAGGAGGGGCGCTACGGGGCCTGGGAGGGGCGCGACGGGACCCAGGAGGGGCGCGACAGGGTCTGGGAGGGGCGCGACAGAGCCCAGGAGGGGCGCTACAGGGCCCAGAAAGGGCGCGACGGGGCCTAGGAGGGGCGCTACGGGGCCCAGGAGGGGCGCTACGGGGCCCAGGAAGGGGCGCGACGGGGCTAGAGGGGGTCGCGACGGGGCTAGGGGGGCGAGCGGAAGCGGTAGGTGGGGGGGGGGGATCCTACCTACGCGTGATACCATATCAGAAATTCAAGTGATGGTGATAGAGAGAGAGTACACACAATATAGCTAAGTGTTGTACCCTCTAAGAGGCTACCCTATACAGTCTATACACACATAACAATTAGACATGTTTGACAGGGTGGACCTAACCTAGCGCGTGATACCATCTCAGAGTAATGAATTGAGTATGATTAGGGGATACAATGGGATATAACCTAAGGTGTTGTACTCTCTATGAGCATGCACCTATCTAGCCTATAACATATACAATTATATATTTACATGCATAAGTAAACTCTGTCGAGTATACTTCAACAATACCCACGTTTTTAAAATTTACCCATGAGGAAATTGACTATATTTGGTAGAGTTATTCCCGTAATATATACTTACCTAAGGACCAGGATTTTGAAGCATTATGTGCCACACAGATTCAATAGATGTAATTGGTTTTACATGGTCACGTCACTATCGGATGTTATTGTACATTACTGTTTTATTGTCAAAACTTCAACACCGAATGAAGTTTGGGGGAACATCGAACCTACTCGTCAGGTATGGCATGATTCCGGGCCATCATGTGATGTGATGTGATGGTTCGGTTGTCAGTTATCTGTCAGTGAGCGCGAATTTTGAATTCTGGCAACGATTTCCGACTTCCTCCATCAAACCCACCTCCTCATAAACACAAACGCTGTGGCCATTTCTCTTGACAGCATCCTTTACCTTGAGACTGTTGATCGTTGAAGCATCGCAATGGACTCTAAGCCTGCTAGTCACCGAATGCCGTTGTCCAAGACCGACACGAATGCTAGGAAGGCTGCCTTGTTGGCCCTCGTCAACAAGAGGAGGGAGAAAGCAGGGAAGCAACAAGCCGAGAATGTGGTCATCAGTGGGTCAAAAGATGTTTATGAGGCAGATTCCGATGAGGATGGTCCTGAAGAGTCATCTCAAGGCTCACAGTCTTCAGAAGTCTCAAGAGATGACGCTACGGAAGACACAGGAGGCTCGAATCTCCTGGTTAAAGGGATGACATCTTTGACGCTGGACAAGAAGACTACGCGTTCTCCTAACTCATCGGGGAGTGCTGCAGCTGCACCGGCAACTTCAAAGAAAGCAGTATCAAGAGGCGAGAGTGAAGAGTTCAGTGGATTCAAAAGTGCATCGCAGTCTTTTGATGGATCCAAGAGACAGGACGATGAAGAAGTGGAATCTGACTACTCCGAGGTTGACTCTGTACCTGCTGAACACCAATCCAGCTCGGCGGATCTGATACTTGGTGACGGAAAGTTTGTTGTCCCTGGAAGAATCGCACGAGGATTGTACGACCACCAGCGGGAAGGCATAGAGTGGATGTGGGGACTGCACGAGATCAAACGAGGAGGTATTTTAGGCGACGACATGGGATTGGGAAAGACCCGACAGGTACGTCATGATTCTTCTCGACTGTCTGGTTGATTTTGTTTTTGGTTGTTTCGGTTATACTGACTGTTGGACCTTTTTTGCAGATTGCCACCTTCATCGCTGGACTTATGGCAGCTAAACTTGCTTCACAGTTCTTACTGGTGGTTCCCGCTACACTGCTACCACAGTGGAAACTGGAGTTTTCCTCCGTCGGCATCAGCAACTGCAAAGAGTATGTAATTACGTGATTTCCACTTTCTAGCAGTGCATTCCCGCTGACTAACTACCTGACTTGCTGCAGGTTCACGTCGTCTATTTCCGTGCGAGAGAGGCCATATTTTCTTGAGGCTTTTTTGGAGGTGAGAGGCATTCCATAATTTTTTATACTCCGTTAAATGGCGACGTTGCTGACGATAATTTTATGCGTTGCAGAGAGGAGGCGTTATGCTAACTACTTACGAGATGGTGCAAAACATCCCGCCACAGAGCGTGACTTGGGACTACTTGGTCCTTGACGAGGTAAAAACTCTTCATTTCTCGCTACCTTTCTCTCGGTTTTGGGGTTGAGGTTGTAAAGCACCTTTTATTATTTTCAGGGACATTTGGCCAAGAACCCGAGCACGAAGCGTTTTCAAGTGCTGAAAGCTTTAAGATTTCACCATTCCATCATCATGACGGGCACACCCATCCAAAATGAGCTCAAGGTCAGCTTGGAAATTTAGCAAATGCATTCAGGGTTTTTCCTTTTTTGTTGAATGAAACTTAAGTTTCACGCATGCTGCAGGAATTGTGGGCGCTTTTTGATTTGTGCTGCAATGGCTTACTGGGAGATTACAAAGAGTACGTTCATCTGCGTTCTTGATGTTGTTTCACCGAGGTATGTGAGTCTCTTCCTTTCATGACATGCTCCGATTTTTGGTGTGTGCTCAGGTTTCGAGCCCAGTACGAGAAGCGCATTCTGGATGGTAGCCAGTCCAATTCTACAGGACACCAGAAGCGATGTGCAAACGAAGCCAGTGCTGTAAGTTCAGAACAAATATTGCCTCCTTCACCAGATGTCTTTAGTCTGATCTCGTACTTCCACTCTGCAGGCCCTTCGCGAAAAGATCAGACCACACTTCCTGAGGCGCATGAAGAAAGAAATATTTCCTAGCCTCCTCGGAAAGGATGAACCAACCGTGAAAGGTCATGGTCCTTCTCTACCCCGGTTGCCTCAGAAGCATGATCTGATTGTCTGGTTAAAGCTCACGAACCGGCAGGTATGGCAAACTTTTATCTGTTTGTATGAAGTGTTATGTTTGGCAGGCTGTTGACCCATTCTCGCTTGGTGGCTTGCAGAGCCATATGTACGAGACCTTTCTAATGTCAGATGCTGTTCGAAGCGTTCTGAACAAGACCTCTTCTCCCTTGAGTGCGATTACTGTAAGGACAGCGTTCAGTTTTGACATTATTCGACCCCTGTCTCTATAAGCTGATTTGTTTTGATGGTTTCCCGTTCCAGGTGCTGAAGAAGATATGTGATCATCCTGGCCTTCTCTCGGAGGCTGCTCTGGAAGAAGTGAAGGACAGCATTGAGCGGGAGAGTACTGAGACTGGAGCGTCAATTTCCACCTCGATTCAGCAGTTCCTTGAGGATCCGAGCATCATGGCCGACCCTGGTGCCTCTTGCAAGATTCGGATGCTTAAAGAGCTTGTTGTGAGTCATATACCCCCCAGCTCTGCAGTGTTCACTGCACATGCTTTACTTTCTAACGGTTTATTATTATTCTTCAGGTTTCACTGGTCAATGACGGGCATCGCGTCTTAGTCTTCTCTCAAACAAAGATGCTGCTGAACATGGCGGAGGTAAAGACGCATGAATGCCACTTTTCTGCTTAAACACCCTTTGAGGCTTCCTGGCCCACTTTGATTGATCTCTTGCCTTCCTCCTTGCGTTATTCCCCAGAGCACTGTGCGCAAGCTGCGCATTGGTTATGTCCGGATTGATGGAGATACCAAGCCTGACATGAGAGAACGTCGGGTCCAGGTACATGTGAAGCAAGTAACGTTTTACCAGCTACGTTTGCAGTTTGTTCTAACGCTTTGAAATAATATTGGCAGGAGTTTCAACTTGGAGAAATCCCTGTCTTCATGCTGACCACAAAAGTTGGTGGCTTAGGACTCACTCTACATGCTGCAGATTGCGTCATTATCATGGATCCTGCTTGGAACCCAAGGTTAGTACCTCTGCACTCTGTTCGTTGATTTTGTTGAAGACTGGCTCAATGATGTTCGACTTTCCTTGCAGTGTGGACAATCAGAGTGTTGACAGAGCCTATCGGCTAGGCCAAGCCAGAGATGTGGTGGTATATCGTCTCATCACTGCTGGAACTGTGGAGGAGAAGATTTATCGAAAGCAGGTATGGATATGTGCAACGTTTTTGCACTACTGCTTGCATATGCCAATTTAACTAGTCAGTTTATTGCAAGGTTCCTCCAATTGCTCCTCCACTGTCTATGCTTGGTCTTGGCAATGTCTGCCACCAACGATGCAGGTGTTTAAGGATGGGCTTATGCGGTCGGCAACATCTGACAAGAACAACCTTCGGTATTTCAGCCACTCTGTAAGTTGACCGGAAGCTGGTTATGGTGAATCAAAATTTACATGTCAGCTGACTAGCGTTTGTCTTCCTTCTTCCCAGGAACTGGCAGACATGTTTAGAATGCCGGATAACGGTTTTGGCTTTTCAGAAACCCAACAGAAAATGGAGGATCTTCACAAGGACCAGATCGTACTGTAAGCATGGGTGACATTGTGCTTCTCCGTTCCCAAAAGCACCTTGATGTAATATCGTTTTCGCTCATTTTCCAGGAAGAAGGATATGGTGCATCATCTTGACTTCATCAAGAAGCAAAAAGTTGTTGTTGGTGTCTCTCACCATGACCTCTTATTCTCAACGGAGGAGCCAGAACTGCTGGGAGGTGCAGGGAACGCCACAGCCCCAGATGCAGTGGCTATCCCAAGGCAAGTGAATTTATTTAGGACATGCAAATCAAACAAGCTCTGCAAAACATGTAGGAACTTAACGGAAGCAACTGTGCCTGCATGCTGTTTTCCTTCACTGCTCTGTGCAGGCGTCCTTCAGGGAATGTCTCTTCTGCACGTGGTACCAAGCAGCATGTCGCACCCGGTGGAGGGCAATGGAGGGGTGGAACTGGACAAGCGTAAGAATCTGACACTGTCATGCACCATAATATCTTCAATGCGGTTTTATCTGTTCCTTCTTTTTGTAGTTCCTAAAATTTGGCATCAAGTTCGGTGACTGGTTTTTCCTGTCCTCTGCAGCCCTGGCGGGATTCTGGCTGCAGCAGGTGCGGTTGTCCCAGACAGTTACCAGCTGAACCGAGAGGCTGAGCAGCATCGCATGGCTCAAGCTCATGTGGTTAATCTATCTGAAAAGCTTGAACGCCAGAAGAAGATGCTCAACAACCCTGTAAGCTTGGCAAAGTCTCACATTTGCTTGCAACCTTTTCTGGTTGGTTAAGTCAACTCCCGCATGTTTGCTGTGCAGAACATCACCCTGAAGGATGGTGGCGAGAACCTGAGGAGGCACATTGAAGAACTGACTGAAGAGCTGGAGAGGGCTAAGGCTCATGCGGACAAGTTGAAGCTTATGCACAGCAGCCCGTTGAATGGAAGTCAAGCTGGATTGGCTAGTGATGTTGAAGCTGACAAGGAGCAATTGGCATCAGAGCTGACAAACCTGGGTTTGTGATTCAGTTCCTCAGGTGGTACCTGCCCAGACGCAGATACATGCACTATGGTACTTGGCACTGGATTTTTGTGGTGGTGGCATGTGTTTAACCAAGGTCGTTATTCCAACTCACCCGATAGTAAACTTTAGCGGGTTATTCAGGTTTAGCTATCGCTAAATACTCTCAAAGGAAAACTGAATAATCATTGACTAGAAAGAATTGTACAAGGACATATATCTAAGAGTTGTACTCTCTAAGAGATGACCCTATACAGTCTATACAAACATTGTAGATAAACATGTTTGATAGATACGTGCCTTCTTGCTAGTTCATATTGTTGTGATAAAACCGTACTTCAGCATTTCTGTAAGTAGTCACGATAGATATTGTCGAGTTACACTGAGTTAGCATCCGTAGAATGACGTCAGCAAATAGCGCTCGTCTGGATGATTGCGTTAGCATGCAGGGCTGATTTTATCAGACTATTTCAGTCTGATTGTCTGAAATTTCAGACCCATTTTTTTGCCAATCCTGATTTTTCAGACTTAGGTTTTTCTGGATACTGAACCCTTCAGAGCAGGCCTGATGTTTCAAAAAAACCCTCCCTGAGCTGTCGAATAAAAAAAAAAAAAGTTTACCCTGAGGGCTCAGGTTTCAAAAATTGCCTACCCTGATTTGTAAGGGTTCAGAAATCTGGAACCCTGAAAATCCCAGGGTTCACCGAGCGCGTTCAGGGTTGCCTTCAACACGAGGGGGGAATAAAAAATGGGGGGAAAAAGGGGAGGGAATCAAACCGAGGGGAGGGGGAGAGCGAAACGGAGGGGAAGGGGGAGGATGGAAACATAGGGGAAGAGAGGAAGCGAAACGGGGAGGGAAAAAGTGGGGGTTGGGGGGTGGGGGAAGTTCGAAATACAGTCGAGGAATGGGAGAAGCGAAACGGAGGGGAAGGGGGGATCGAAACGGAGGGGAAGGGGGGATCGAAACGGAGGGGAAGGGGGGATCGAAACGGAGGGGAAGGGGGGATCGAAACGGAGGGGAGGGGGAGTCGAAACCAAGGAAGAAAGGGGGAGGGAATCAAAACCAAGATGCGAGGGGCGAAACGGAGGGGAGATGGGGGAATCGAAATGGAGGGGAGGGGGGAAACGAAACGGAGGGGGAGTGGGGGGAGCGAAAATGGAGGGGAGGGAGGAATCGAAGTGGATTGGAGGGGGGAAGCTGGGTAATAGGGCGGTCGGAGAAAATTCGCGCCCTAGCAGCGCCCCGCCTGGGAGATCTTGGACGTTGATCAATGTGACCATCTAACGGTTTAAGTATGTCGAAACGATCGCAATCGATCTTGACCGTTGCATTTTCATAGACTTAGCTAATTTTTGTGGGTTGTTGTTAGTGTGTAGGGGGGATGTCTGTACGACACATGACTTAGCCGATTTTTGTGGGTTGCTTGGTGTGTGAGGGAATGTTTGAGGACTTCACCAATTTTTGTAGGTTGTTGCGTGTGGGGGGGAATGTCTCTGGAGATTGGGGACTTCGCCTAAATTTCCGCATTGTGAGCCACATGGATGTCGCACTTAGGGTTCGTACGCGTTACTCCCTGAAAACTCAGTGTTGGGATAACGCAAACCCTGAAATTCTCAGTGTTCACAGACATACAACCCTGAAGAGGTTAGGGTTAAAAAAAGCCCAACCCTGAAAATTAAGGGTTGGCCAAAAAAATACCCTGTGAAATCAGGGAATCAGGGTAAAATACCCTGATAACGACAGGCCTGCTTCAGAGTGTTATGATTTTGGATCCTGAAGTTTTCAGAGTAGATGTTGTGCGGATCAGGCCCCCAAATTGGTTTTGGAAGTGTCTGATTCATCAGACTTGCCTCCCATCCCTTGGTATGGCCATCAGACCAGGGCTGATTTTATCCGACTATTTACTCTGATTAGTATGAAATCTCAGACCTGTTTTTTGGCCAAACCTGAATTTCCAGATAAGGCATTTTCCCAATCCTGATCCCTTCAGAGTACGATTCTAGGGATCCTGAGAAAATCAGAGTTGTCGCTAACCCAGTACTGAGTTTTCAGAGCACAGCGCGTACAGACCCTGACTCATTACCTGTCCAGTACCAACCTTCGAAAAATTTGGTGAAGTCCCCAATCGCTAGAGACATGCCCCACACACCCCACAACCCCCAAAAATTTTCGGCCAAGTCCCCGAACCCTAGAGACAACCCCCACCCCACACCCCACAACCCATCTAAAATTTCGGCGAAGTCCCGGAACGCTAGAGACATCCCCCACACACCCCACAACCCACCCTAAATTTCGACTAAGTCATGTTGTCAGATACAGTCCTCCCTAACACCCGGAACAACCCAGAAGTTTTGAATGAGACTTTCACAATTTTTTTTTAACTGCATTGGAATGAGAGTAAATTCCGCATTTTTAACATAGGAAAATTCTCGCCAGTTGCCCGTTTGGTCAACTGAAAGTCTAACAAAATGTAACGGTCACGATCGTTTGCGATCGTTTCGACATATATCAATCGTTCGATGTTATGTAGTGATTAACGTCCAAGATTTCCCAACCGGGGCGCTGCAAGGGCGCGAAATTTCTCCCACCGTCCTATTCCCAAGCTTCCCCCCTCCCTGCCGTTTCGATTCCCCCCTTCCCCTCCATTTTCGCTTCCCCCCTCCCCTCCGTTTCGATCACTTCCCCCTTCCCTCCGTTTCGCTTCCCCCCATCCTCTCCGTTTCGACCCCCCCCCCCCCTTCCCCCCCCTCCCCTCCGTTTCGCGTCCCCCCTCCCCTCCATTTTGATTCCCTCCCCACTTCCCCGTCAGTTTCGATTCCCCCTCTCCTCAGTTTCGATTTCCGTGGCAGTGCGATTTTACCCCCTCGGTTTTTAGGAATGACTTCCCCGTTTCCCACATTTAACAACTACGCAAAACGAGGGTCTGACAAGGTTGCTGGTTAGGGGGGGCGCGGGCTGTGGGAGGATTTTTAATGGCTGCAAGGGACTTAGCCGATTTTTTGGGAGGTGTAGGAGGGAGGGACGTTTCTAGCTGTGGGGGTGTTTCCCGTGTGTGACTCTGGTTGTACGTCCTGGACCCTGAAAAAATAAGACTCGCTGAGTTATGGACCCTGACATTTCATACTACAAAAATTTCGGCTGAAGGCCCTTCAGACTTTTTTTTTTTTTTTTTTTGGGATTGGCTCAGAGTGCCTTTTTTTGAAACGTCAGCCCTGCATCAGACTCGCCTCTGAAAAAAAGTCTGAAAAATCAGAGTAACAATATATTTTTTGTCTGATAAATCAGAGTCACTAATTTGTTTTACGCTGATTTTAAAACTGTTGTACACTACACGTCAATAAATGTCCTGCATAACCTCCTCAACCTCATCCACCGAACTCCACTTTCCTAGTGCCCTTTTGTCAAACATGTGTATCTCCTATGTTTGCATAGACTGTATAGGGCCACCTCTTAGAGAGTACAACACTTAGGTACATTCACCTGTACTCTCTCTCTACTCATTATTCAGTTCTCACTTTGATATGGTATCACGCGTAGGTTAGGATCCCCCACCTACCGCTTCCGCTCCTACCCTAACTAGGCCCCGCCGCGCCTCTCCTAGCCCCGTCGCGCCTCCTAGCCCAGCCGCGCCCCTCCTGGGCCCTTCGCGCCTCCTAGCCCAGCCGCGCCCCTCCTGGGCACTTTGTGCCTCCTAGCCCAGTCGCGCCCCTCCTGGGCCCCGTCGCGCCTCCTAGCCCAGCCGCGCCCCTCCTGGGCCCTATCGCGCCTCCTAGCCCAGTCGCGCCCCTCCTGGGCCCTGCCGCGCCTCCTAGCCCAGTCGCGCCCCTCCTGGGCCCCGCCGCGCCTCCTAGCCCAGTCGCACCCCTCCTGGGCCCCATCGCGCCTCCTAGCCCAGTCGCGCCCCTCCAGGGCCCCGTCGCGCCTCCTAGCCCAGTCGCGCCCGTCCTGGGCCCGGCCGCGCCTCCATGGCCCAGTTGCGCCCCCCCTGGGCCCTGCCGCGCCTCCTAGCCTAGCCGCGCCCATCCTGGGCCCAGACGCGTCCTCCCTAGCCCCGTCGCGCCCCTTCTAATCCCCGTCGCGCCCCTCCTGGGCCCCGTCCCGCCCTTAGCCCCGTCGCGCCCTGCCCGGCCCCGTCGCGCCCTGCCTGGCCCCGTCGCGACCGCCTGGCCCCGTCGCGCCCCGCCTAGCCCCATCGCGCCCTGCCCGGCCTCGTCGCGCCCTGCCTGGCCCTGCCGCGCCTGCCTGGCGCCCGCCCTGCCCGGCCCCGCGCCCGCCCTCCCGACCTTCCCGCACGTCCCAGCCAGCCCCGCGCCCGTCCCGTCGGCCTGGTGCCCGCTGCTACTGGCCCCCGCGCCTGTCCTGCCCCGAGCTGTGTGTGGCCCGCTCGTCGTCACTGCCCCGGCCCTGCATCCTCCCTGGTACTGTTCCTCATCACCTGCACCGCACTACACTGCACGGTACGGCCCTGCACCGCACTGCACCGCGTTGCACCGCACTGCACCGCCTTGCACCGCACTGCATCGCCCTGCACCGCCCTGCGCCGCACTGCACCGCACTGTACCGCACTGCATCGTACTGCACCGCCCTGCATTGCACTGCACTGCACTGCACCGCACTGTACGGTCCTGCACTGCTCCTGATGGCGGCGGAGCTTCGATTCGACGCTGAAGGCCAGCCACTGGAGTTCGAGGCGTGGCTCGCCGACCTCCGCCGCCACCTCACTGGTCATCGGCAGGATGGCCACCCGCTTTCCGCACACCTTGACGGTACACTCCCCTGCCCAGACCCCCCTGCTGTGCTGCCCACTGACCCCACACCCGCCGAGCGCGAGTCCACTGCAGCCGCTGCCCTTGCGCGCTCTGTCTGGCTTTCCTGAGACGCTGTTGCTCAGCTCGCCATTAGCAATGCCCTTCCCCCGCCTGAGCGCCCTCGCTTTAGGTCCATCACTACCGCCCAGGCTTACTTAGATGCTGTCATCAAGCGCTATTCCACCCCTCCTGCTGCCTCAGTGGGTCGCCTGATCCTCCCGATGCTCTTTCCCGACCTTGCGTCTTTCCCCACTGTCTCTGACCTAGCTGCCCACCTGCGCTCGATAGATGAGACCTAGCGCGCTGCCTGCACTGACGCACAGCTTAGAGCCCACCAGCCGCCCATTACCTCTACCCTCTACCTGCTTGCCACCCGCCTCCCTGACCGCCTTGCCGCCGCCCGCGACCGCTTCCTTAGCA